AAACTAATTATTTATGTTATGAAATGTTATCTGCTTTAACAAAATCGGTTGTAATTTTATCTTGTATAAAAATTTTTATATCAATTAGTTAATGAGCAAAAATGATTTTTTTTATTTACTAAATACATTATGTAGCAAATGAATAAATTAATAAATACTAATTGAACTACTTATATATAGGGTAAGACTGACTATTACATTAAAAGTGTTAAGTTCATAATTAATCCTTCAAATGTTAAATGTCAGCCAATTATGCTGAATTAGTATTTGATAATGTGGATTCATCATCTGTTCGTGAAAATTCCAAATTTTGTGTATCATTCGTGTTTTCACGCTTAGGATAATTGTTTACGAATTCACCCTCTGACCCACAATCTTCCGCTTCATATGTAAACTCTTTATCATGTAATATTTCCGCATCATCTGAAATTTTAAAAGTGGAGTTGAGAGAAGGATTGAAATAACGTCCTAATAAAGGTTTGTCTGACCAAACTAAAAGTTGTATTTGACTAGAAGTTGCTGCGTTATCAAAATCATGAAATTTATGTGAATAATGTTTACTCACTATTAAATTGTTCATTCTCTTCACCGTGAGGGTTCTCATTATCTAAAGATTCATCACGAGGTATTTCATCTTCATTGTTTAAATCATCTTGTTCATCCAACTTTTTTGTTAATGGTTGTTGATCGCCTTTACTATAATTGTCCTCGACTGACATATCCGTTATTAATGATGCTGTTGCACTAGAGAATTCTGTAATTGGATTAGCAATTGGAATTGGTGGAAGAACTGTGAATATCTCTGAAGGTTCATTTGCATTCTGATATGCACAAAAAGGATCAGGTCCTTGTGTTGTCATCTAAATATCATAAAATATCATTGTTAATAATTAATATCCTAAAATATAATAATTAATATCCTAAAATATAATAATTTAATAAAAAAATAAATATATAATTACTTCTTCTAATATTGGGTCTGCAACTCCCTTACTGGAAATTCTTTCATAAATATCTACTTCTGCCCTAACTACTGTTGAAACTTTAGAAAGAATAAAATTGAGGTTATTTTGTTCTGTATCCAATGTTTGCCTATAATAGTCCGTTTTCAATCTATCTAGATCTTCTACTTGTCTAGTCAAGTCTTGAAGTGCCTTTAATGATAAATATAAAAATATATAAAAATATATAAAAATATATAAAAATTTTTAATTATCTTAAAATTATATATTCTTCGATATAGCATAAAACTTTCATAAAAAAATATTTACCCTACGAAATTGGGAAAGGTCTATTTATATACAGTTTAAATTGAGCTTAAATAATATTTAGTTATTAAGATATAAATTTTAATAAATTTATTACCTCTTTGACGTTTACGACCGCAACGTAAATTCTCGGCTTCGGTTTCTTTGATACGTTTACTCATTTCTGTTAATGACTTATCATATGACTCCTCACTTGCAAGAACTGTTGCTTTATGAACGTCAAGATTTTCTAATAAAGGAATCTCAAATTTTTTGTAAAATGCATCACTCTAATTAAAGTAAAATGCATCACTCTAATTAATATAAGAAATATTGGTGGCATCAAATCATGGTGAATTGATGTAGAATAAAATGATGAAAATTCAATTCGATCGTTTACCAGAAGTTGTTGATGATTTGACATTAGATAGTGCAAACCAGCCGCAGCTTGTAAGGCGGGTCCTGATTAAATAAATAAATCTATGTTAATATTGTAGTTTTATATAAAATTAACCTCCTTATATACACACCGGCGTCAAATGCTCCTTTGCAACGAGCTAACCTTTCTAAGGATTGACCAAAGCCAGCAGCAGCTTGTGCGAGCGCTATCATTTGATTGCGGTACGCCTTTGCAGAGACAAGTAATTGTTCATAAGCTTCAAAGGAAGCACGTATGTCATTACGGGAAAGTATAATTGCTGGTTCTGGAATTGGCTCAGTCGTTCGTGCTGAATGAGCTATGGAATTTACAGTCCTTGCCGATAAGGTTGGTGAAGTTGGCGTCGAGAATTTATACATGGGGTTCAATTTTGTTTAACACGTTTACTATTCTAAGGTGAAATGCCAAACATATTCGTATTTAAATAATCATTGCTTAGAAACATTGTGGTATGATCAAAAAAAGCAAAGAGATGGAATTTCCCCATCAATCACATGTTTGACGTAATGCTCCTGAAATTACTGAAATTGCGTAAATTACATACAGAATATATGTACGTATGCACATATATTATTTACAGAACTTAAAAGAATAATAGAATATGTAATATAAGCTAACTTTCTTTTGATTGGTCAATTACTTAACGATTGTAGGTAACATTTCAAAAATAATCCAAAAAATCCACGGCCTGGAGGTTTTTTACTTAGAA